GCAGCTTTGCCGACCGGCAAACGCTCCCGGTTCCCTTTGGAACGCCCGGGGGCACTCGGCGGGCTGTGCGCCTGAGCTGGGGGCTCGTGCTGCCTCGGGATTTCGGGAAAATATTTGGCTGGAGCATAACCCATATAGAAGCAGTTTGATCTGAGCGGGTATCCTTTTAAGGAATCTAATTTAGGTCACTGAGCACTTTACCCTTCATTATTTCATGATCCAATGTTTAAAGAATTTTATTTCTAAGGGGAATTGTTCTGTCAAACAAATTCCGCTTTAGTAAAAAAAAAAAAAAAAAAAAGTGTGTTCTTTTGGGAAACTGCCCATGTTTTTAGAGCAATGTTCCTTGCTTTTTTTTTGGTTTGTTTGTAGGTGGCTTCATTACAGCTGTTCCCTGAGCCTCTCCCCTCTCACACGTGGCTCCTGCTGCTTCCTCCACCTCACCAGTCCCAGTCCACCTTCCCATTCCCATCTCTCCTGCTGTTCCTCGCTGCCCTCCTCCTCCTCACGCAACGCCAGCCGCGTCTCCTGGGCTGTTGGATTCACCGCAGAGCGGCGCCTGACCACCGCGCCAGCTGGAAAATAAATGTCTGCGTGATCAGGCTGAAGATGCCAGGCAACAAATAGAGGCACCTTCGTTTTTCAGGAATTCCTGGAGCTCCTGCTCCTCAACTTCGTGTGAGATTTGTTCTTTGTACCATCTCCTGGGAAGCAACAAGCCCGCTGGTTTAAGCCTATTTTTGAGGGCTGTAGCAAGGCTGACCTGGGGTAACGCCTTGGCTGTGACCGGCTGTTCCCGCAGCACGCGTCCCCGCAGGAACACGGGGCTCCCTGCGTTTTTACGTGCTGCTCAAGGTACAAACTCACCAATCATCAGTTTTGTGTCCCATGAGCCACTTTATTTTTTTAAAAATGTCTAGTTTGCCAACTAGCTGAGATCTGTAGTTCTCATCCAATACATGTCTCACCTCTTGAGGAAGGTGGAGGCCTGAAGAAGTGATAAAACCGTGATTGCCTTCCAGGATGCAGAAGAGCCTGTGCTGCACAAAGTGCAATCAATGCCTGTTTTTCTAATAAAGTTCTATCAAGCACTCGCTCATTTAAAAAAAATAAAATTAAAACATTAATCACCAATCTGCCGATTCAGATGACTATTCCCAATATATTCAAAGACAGGTTCTGTTCAGCACCACTATCGGTGGTTACGAGTGAAAATAAGAATGACTAACCTGTCTTGATTTTGGTTTTTAAAATGTAATTCTGAAATCCCTAAAAAAAGCCAATACCCGTTTCCGTGGAAACGGCAGCACACAAAACGTTGACATATTTCAGGGAGCGAGAGCTACTTGAACATCTGCTTCCCTGAACCCACCAGCGAGCCTTCAAAATAAAACTGGCTCTCACGTTTGGTGGAACTGGTTCACAAGAAAATTCAGACCATGTTGCAGCCCCAGCCCAGCCCAGAGCCCTTTCAGCAACACACCCAGCCAGCGACAGCAGCACGCGGCGCACCGATTCCTGCTTTAAGGCTCACACTATAAATAACTTTTGATCTGCACGGCGATGCGTTACGGCGCAGCCTCTGGAAAAAAGCAGCCGAGAGCACCGACACACCTTTTGGTATCTTTTCATCCCATTTTCATACACATTTTTAAGAGCTTCACCTCTCGTTACGATTCTGCACCGCTAAGTGCTCAGCACTGTCACTGGTAAGAAATTTGGGAGCGTGGTAAAGGTGAGCACCTACTTCTCACTAAAGCCTAAGCCCAAAGCCAGTATTTAAACCAGAATTCAGACTGGATTTATGGATCAGCGCTCGCTGGAGCCAGGCAGGCACACTGCCCTTCCACAAACC